TGTTGTTCCATGTGGGCTTTGTTGCTTCTGAGCTAGATGGCCGCTTGTTTACCTTCCATTTGGCCTACTCTTGGGCACAGCAGCTCAAACACGCAGGTAGGAGGTGGCGGGGCAGAGCCCACAGCAGTGGGCAGAAGTGAGAAACTACCTGGGCAGGCAGAAGGCCTGCAGGACGGGCTGGGGGCTGGGCTTAGCCGAGGGAAGGGTCACCCTGGTTGGTACTGGGCTGGAGAAGAGCAGCTATCCTGTTCACAAAGGAGCGGAAGGGACAGATGCCATCTCTTGCTCTTCTGAGCGTGCAAAGCCTCACACCAGGTGTTGGTGGCACTCACGGGGCTGCGAGCCACTCATTTCCTGGTGTGGCACCCGTCACCTTGCCCCTCAGCTGTGTCGGCTCTGCAGCCACAGCTCTGAGAAGTGCAGCAGGATGGCCCCTCAGCCCCTCAGCCCCTAGCACCAGGGCTCTCTCCTCCCCCACACCCTGCTTGACCCGCATCCTTCCATACAAGCAAGACCGTGACATCATGGGAGTGGTACCGAAAGCAGATGGCTAGTCAGGAAAAGACGCTGACGGACATGCATGAATAGAACCAGGCACCCCTTCTCCTTGCTGTCCGGCAGCTCTTCTGCCCGAGATTTCCCAACTTGCTTTAAGTGCCAAAACTCTCCCCACTTTTACTGGGAATTCCTTTAGATCATTCAACTATGTTCTCTGGGGTCTCTGACAACTTGATGTGAGCTGGACATAAGCTCGGCTTTGTGTGTGTGTGTGTGTGCGTGTGTGTGTGTGTGTGTGCGCGCGCGCAGGGGATGGCAGAGGATAAAAATGGCCTTTCGTGGTAAGCACTAAATACATCTATAAACAAATCTGAGCTTGGAAATGTCCCGCAGTGGAGCGGGGTGATTTCCTCCCCTCAGGACTGTAACAGTGCTGGGAGGCCAACCGTGACCGACGTCCGTGCAGGCAGCCCTTCAGTCCTCTCACTAGGTCACAAACCCCACTTATTTGAGGTTAACAAAAAGGTTTGAATTTGAGGGCTCTTTTATGTGAATGAGTACAGTGGATTACAAGTTAGGCTGCTAACCACAAGGTCAGCAGTTCTACTCCAGTAAAGAGATGCAGTGTGGGCCCCAGGGCCTGTCTGCTCTGTCTTTCAGGGTGGCTGCGCGAGCTGACCTGAAGGCGGGGTTTGCTCTGCTGTGTTGTCTGTGAACGTGTGGGGCCCAAGATGAGGCAGAGGCTGGTGGTGCAATGTCTCTGCTCATCTCCGCTCCTCACCAGTGTCCCTTGTGAAGGAAGCCGCGATAGGGAGGAGGGTCTGTCTGGGACTTGGGCTGAGTCTACTGCCATTATGCAGGCGAGGACGGCAGGGGAGCTGTGTGTTCGGACATGGCCTTCGTGCTCCTGGGGCCCAGGTCACTGCGAGTCGGCACTTCAGTAGGTGTGAGCCTCCCCCCTCCCCGCCGCTCACAACTGCCCTTGGAGAGTGCCGCCCCCGGTCCCCCAGGCACCTGACAGTGGAGTGGTTCTGGCTGGGGAGCTGCACACTGGGCATTTTGGGCTGCTGGTCTCCAGTAGCATTTTAGTAACTTGGTAGTAGAGGCAGAAAGGCACAGCTCAGGTGCCTGGCTGCAGTTGTCTCTGGGTTGAAAGTTTGCAGCAGTGGAGCTTCCCTGGAACATGACGGCAGGACCAGATTCAATGACTTCAAGGAACGCTGGGGCCAGAAGGCTGCAAGAAGCTGAGGGTCCAGAGGAGGAGTGTCGGGACCCTACCAGGCAAGAAGGCATGCCCTGCTTGAGCTCTGCGTGTAAAAAGTCTACTGTCAGTTCAACTCCCTTTGGGAGCACCCTGAGGGAACACACATCTGTGGGCCCCGGGCCTGCCCTGACCGTGTCACAGTGACCATGGTTAGAACCGCACATAGTCAAGGGAACAAGACCTTACAAGTTCATTACGTACAACAAACCAGTCACTGGTCAAGCCAGCAGGGCCCTCAGGAATCTCTTCAGCTAAACTCTTCACGGCCCATCAGGTCCAAGTAAGGGCCAGCACCCTGGGATTGGCCGGGGGTCGGGTTTCTTTGGGTTAGATGGCTACTTTGGAACTATATACCTAAGCTTCAGTTTCCTCATCTTTTAAATGGGCTTGTAAAGATGAAGATAATTCATGTATCACAGTCCATCTGGCAAACAGTATTACAGAAGTGTTAGCTCTGTTTACTATCAGGTTGTACTGCAGCTCCCTCATGATCCCTATGCCTCATTATAAACCGAGAGGGTGGCCCAGGACTTGCAATCCAGCCCCAGCTTAGTGATGGCCTGACTTGACCTGCCTGCATCCCTCCTCATCCTACGGGGAGGTTGATGAGTCCAGCCAAGGCAGGCCCTTGTGGAGCTGACCCGTCTACTCTGGCTTCCTGGAGCCACTGTGCTCACCACAATCTCGGGGTTTCACCAATGTGAAACCCTTTAGGGTACACACTGCACCCGAATATTGTAATACCCATGCAGGCAGCCTGTTCTTTTGGGGTGCCTGGAATTTAGAGAAAACTTACTGGCGGAGCATCTTGTCCAAACTTCTCATTTTATATATGAGAAAACGAAGACCTCGAGAAAATAAGTGACTTGCCCATTGGAGGCAAAGAGTTGAGGTTGTCAAGGATTAAAAAGACAGTGTTATCTATAATGATTTTTATTTATAAACAAATCGACATAAAATAAGTTCAGATGGTGGCAGGGTAGCTTGCTGTTGATTTGCTTACAAAGGAAGCAAATGAACAGTGGAGAGGGCGGAGCAAGCCCTCAGACTGGAGACCCCGCCCCTTCCCATCCATTAGGGCTTTCTTGGCCTAAAATCACTGGGCTCACTCTTGTGGTAGCAGTTCTGGTTGAGGCAAGGAGCTGGCGGAGGGGCAGAGGGTGAGAAGGGGCCTCCATTCCCACAGGTGAGGTTGGGAGCTGTGAAGAGCCCTGCAGGGGAGAGAGGGGAAGGGGACTGCACCCTCTCCCCCTCCCCTCCTCTCGCTGAGGCATGTGGTCAACCCCAGAGGTCCTAGGGTAGTGTTCTCTGAAAAGGGCCAGGCCCATCTGGATGGAGAGGGTCTCTCTGGGGCAGGGCAGTCATTCTCCTGTCTCTTGAAACCTAGGCTCTGAGACCAGGGCAGTATCAGCTGGAGGGCTTGCTCAAGTGCCAGAGACAATAAATTAACTGCAAGATCTTTTTTTTTGTCTTTAAAGTAGAGGTTTTGCACCATCAGTTTGAAGTCTGGGGAGCTGGTGGGGAGAAGTCAGGAGCTGTAGAGCATGGGTGCCACACTAGGCTTAGCAGATGGTGAGGGAATTGGGCCCACTGCCAATTCAAGACCCTGTTTTCCAAGGCCCCCGAGTTGGCTCCTTCCACTATTACTTGGGAGGTGACCAGTCCAGACCCTGGTGAGAGGCTGCCCGGATTGGAGAATGCATACAGGGCCCCTCAGAGCTGAGGCAGGGCTGAGGGGAAGAGCAGCGCCAGCCCCAGGCCCCACAATCTCCCCTCTCCAGCCCTTCATAGAAGGACACATCATGGCAGGAAGGTGGCAGTGGTGGTTCTGCACAGCCTCCTGGAGTCCTGAGGAGGCTCGGAATCCCTGTGGTGCCCGGAAGTGAGTGGACTGCCCTCCTTCACAGGGGATGAGCACCCCGTCTGTCTGGGGTGCACCTCCTTTTTCAGAACTTGCCCTGCTTCAGCCGGTCAATGTGGTATGAGAGCTTGAGTGCAGGCCCCAGCTTCAGCCCCATGTACTTCATGATCATGTCACTGCGCAGCAGAAGCAGGGCTTTGCCGTCGATCTCCTGGGAGGGGGGGTGGTATGGGACAGGGAGGTGTTTGCCATCAGAGGCCTGGTTGGTGTGACCACCCCAGGTTTCTGGTTAAGTAAGGGCACCCTTCCTTAAGTACCAACGACACCAAGTACCAGGGAAGTACCAATGACACCAAGTCCAACCAATCTGCTGTGACACTGAAGCCCACCTGTCTTCGTGCCCTGTTTTCTCCACCAACCCTCCCCTTTCAGACATCTGATTCTGAGCCCAGCTCGGGCTAGTCCTATGCTTCCTAAGAGGTAGTGCTCTCCACCCGCCCCTCTCTGCAGTCCGAGTACCGGCCACTCAGCACAGCTTCTATACTGACCACCGGTGACACTGGGACTCACCATTCCCTGAGCAGCAGACCTCTCTCTGGGAGCTGGGCATAAAGCAGCCCTTTACTAAGCAGCTATGGCAGCTAAGGCCTGATCTAAGAGCACCCTCCAGCCTAAGTGATGGGAGAGAATGAAATGATCAATGACCAGAGAGCGAGAGGAACACTCAAGAGGGGCCAGGAGGGAGTGGGTTTGAGCCCCAGTGAGGAGTGTGGTCACAGCAGGAGAGGAGAAATGGTCCTGGAATCAAAGGTGTTGGAGGCTCGCAGAGGGGTCCAGTGAGGCTGGAGGGTTGGGACCACTTGAAAAGGGGCTCCCTGCCTTGTGCTGAGGCCCCTGATTCTCTTGCCTAGAAAAATCTCATATCCCACATGAAAGTCAGGACCAGCCACAAGAACATAGCCCTCCCAGGCTGGGGAGGCCCAGTGAAGGTAAGCAGATGCAAGAACATGGGCTTCTGGGAAGAGAGGTGAATCCTGACTCTGGGACTGAGCTCTGGACCCCTGGCCCAGAATACAGCAGAATCCGATCGTGGACTGGAGGCCTAGAGCCAGGCTGTCCAATGGCTCTGAGAGGGCAGATTGTTATGGTGGCATCTGTGCCAGTGACACCAGGAATCTACAGTGATCAATACTGAGCCCAGGCTCTCTCAGAGTTTACAACTCACAGGAACAAGACTTCCAGGGTCTATGGGAGAGGTCAGAGAGGAGCACCTACATGTTTGCGAAAGAGGTCAGCGTGGGGTCCAAGCTGAGGGTCAGCTTCTCGAACAAACTGCATCACATCCTCTACTGTCCACGAGGAGGGGTCCCGCCCACTCAGTCGAGAGGCATCCCGGTTTTCCAGGTATCGGTCCGACCCTGCAGGACAGAAGAGCACCTCCCATAGTGGCGGGGACTCTAGTCCCCACTGTTCTCCTTGCTTTGCCCCCATGGCCCTAGAGGGGGTGGTCACAGTAGCGCTAGAGCATGAGCAATTGGACCCGAGCTAGCCTAAGGAGGGAGTAGTCTTCCCACAAAGGGTCTACAGAGCCTAGACTACCTTAAGTCAAATCTCTGTTCCTTCCGGGTACACCTGATTTTTGGAAATGGCCAGAAGAAAGTTGACATTGAGGCTGTGATTCAGATTAGGGAATAATAGGTACGGGATATTTGTGTTCAGTGGGAGCTGATTAGTTCTGGGGACCATTTCTAGAGAGACCCTGGCAGCTGGGATTAGAGCCTAGGAATTAGGGAGGAAAAAAGTGGTGGACAGTATCCCGAGTGAGTTGTCCTTCTATGTCAGCACCATAATTCAGATGCATCAATTCCTCTGGGTCTTCCTTATTCATTTACCTTACTCATATGCATATGAGGTGCTTCGAAATACCTTGGTTTGGGTAGGAAGCACCTTGGTCCTCAAGAAAATGACATCTCTGTTCTTTAACACTCCACGTAATAAATATGTCATCTGATTTCCTGACTGCTGCTTCTCTGAGCACTGATTGTGGGTTCAAGTAAAATGAAATTCTTGGCAATTTCAATCTTTTCTCAGTTTATCATGATGCTACCTATTGGTCCAGTTGTGAGGATTTTAGCTTTCTTCACATTGAGCTGTAATCCATACTGAAGGCTGCAGTTCTTAATCTTCATCAGCAAGTGCTTCAAGTCCTCCTCACTTTCAGTAAGCAAGGCTGTGTCGTCTGCACAGTGCAGCTAGTTAATGAACCTTCTTCAAGTCTTGATGCTGCATTCTTCTTTGTATAGTCCAGCTGTTTGAATGATTTTCTCAGGATACAGAATAAGTCTGGAGAGAGGATATAACCCTGATGCACACCTTTCCTGATTTTCAACCATGCAGGCTTCTGCCTCGTGGTTTATGTATTGGTTATGTAGGAGCACAGTTCTGGAATTTTGATTCTTTTCAATGTGATCCATAGTTTAAGAGCCCCACAGTCAAATGTCCGTGCACAGTCCACAAAACACAAGTAAATTTCTTTCATGTATTCTGTGTATTCACAGTACATATCACAACCTAAAATAATCATGGCCTACATTTATGTTTTTATTTTTTTAATCTTACTTTACTCTATGCCTAGCAACATAGATGTTAGTCACATTTACTGAATGACTAAATGATTATAGTATAGAATATTTAGTTGTATGTTCTCTAGGGCAGTGGTTCTCAACCTTCCTAATGCCGTGATCCTTTAATACAGTTCCTCATGTTGTGGTGACCCCCCCCCCAACAATAAAATTATTTTCATTGCTACTTCATAACTGTAATTTTGCTACTGTTATGAATTGGGCCACCCCTGTGAAAGGGTTATTTGATCCCCAAAGGAGTCTCGAACCACTGCTCTAGAGGGAGAGGCCTTGTCTCCCTCATCTCTACATCCTCAGCACCAAGGAACTGTCTCATAAATGGCTGAGGGAGAAGTGACTTGCTCTCAGCCAAGTACCAAGTGGCAGAGATGAAACACATGTGTGAAAGTAGACGCAGCCTAATCTCGCAGTATGTCCTTCAAAGGCTAGGCATCTCCTCCCATTTGTCTTCACTCTGGGTCAGGGTCTAAAAGGCTAAGCACACTGCCTGGCCCAGCGCTGTCTAGCCTTGGTTAAAAAAAGGCTTTGGGGTATTTAGCCCACTGCTTTCTATTCTACCCGAATTCATATCATAACCCCCAAAAGCAATCCCACAGAGCCAATCCAGTCAGCCACCACAACTCCAGACACTTTCCCCCTTCCACTCCTACCACCTACTGTCATGGTCATTCATTGATTCTTATCATCCTGGGAATGAATGAATCTGTCTCAGAATTTTAAACATTTCACTCTGTGATTTGAACCTCTTATCTTTCCAACTTCCCTGGGACTTACATTACAGCGACCTTTGGTATACCAACCTTTTGTTCTCCCCCATTCTTCAGCTTTCCACCAGTCTTGCTTTCTTCTCCACTCCACCCAGATCCAGTGGTGGATGATCTCAACTGCTCCCCGCAGAGCCCCACACCCATTCTCCTTTGTTGCCCTGCTAGCTCAGCACAAAACCTTCCTTCTCACGTGATCTTTTTTCACCTATTTACGGCATTGGAACCACAGAGGAAAACAATGGTTCTTGCAAGCTAGCTCACTAATCTCGAACATGGCTGGTTCACTGGTGCAGCGGTTTTCAACCTGTGGGTTGCAATCCCTTTGGGGGTCGAACGACCTTTCACAGGGTCCCCCAATTTATAACAGTAGCAAAACTACAGTTATGACGTAGCAACAAAAATAATTTTATGGTTTGGGGGTCACCACAACATGAGGAACTGTATTAAAGGGTCGCGGCATTAGGAAGGCTGAGAACCACTGCCCTACTGTTTCTTGTAAACCGTCTTCTTTCCCTGATCAATTTTCTTCTCTTATTTATGACTCATCCAAGCTCTTACTATTTCTCTGTTCCTCCCTCCTCTGCCCCCTTTCTTTTACTTGTGGCCATAATCAGTCTTTTCGTTTAGCCTCCTAACTTAAGGTAAAGCCATCTGCCTATCTGTGACCCCTATTCCTTTGACTAATCTTAATAGCTTCCTTTTGGAGAGCTTAAGTTTGTTTGTTGATAAACATCCCTAATGGGCTTTCAGTCTCAAAAGCCTTTTCTTAATTTACAGTTGCTCTAGTCACCATTTTTCTTTTATCTCATTGGCTTCCTGTGATGTCCCCAACTACCGCAATATTCTTTCGCTAAAATCACCAAGTAAGTGCTCATGAGTTCCATGAATGGCAGGATCCACAGATGCTTCCTCAGCCCTCCTTTACCGAGCCTTTGCTGCGCTCTTCTTCCGCGCCAGAGGATCACATTCGTTTGTTCCCTCACGTCAGACTGTTCTTGGTGTCCTTAGTAGACTCCTCCTTCTGTTCCCAACTCTTGGGCTCTGTTGTTCCTGGGAGTTTATCTTTGGCCAAGTGCTTCTGCATGCCACACATGTTCTAAGAAAATGGCTCTCATTGAACTACCATCTGGCTCTATGCAGATAAATTCCAGATGGTACCTTCAGCTAACTAAGCTTTAGATCTGTCTGCTGGATAGGAGGGGTCCCTCCCCTCCTATCTCTTACGGTGATGACATCACCATCCTCACATTCCCATGCTCATTCCTCATCACACTCAACTCTAGCTTAATTTATATTGTAAAATGTTTTCAGATCTCTCCTCCCAGCTTTCTTACTGCCCCAATACAGGTCTTTTTTTAACCTCTGGCCTGGACCCCTCTAGCAGTGGTTTCTCTAGCTTTTCTCCTCCTCCACTATCCTTAACATGGTGGTCAAAACACAAACCTGCTGATGTCTCATCTCTCATTAACACTCTCCAGGTCACTTCATATTGCCTACAAGATGGACTCTAAATGACTTCACAAGTTTTGAAGGTTCTCTATAATATAACCCTTGACCTGTCTAGGCATTTCTATTTGAAGTCCCAATATTAAATTTTATATTTAAGAATAACAAGACTGTCTCTCCTCTTCAACCCCTAAAGTGGCCATTCATATATTTACCCTGTAAGTCTCAGGCAAGATGTCACTTCCTCAAGGAAGCTTTCCTTGAGCACCATGCTTCTGGGTCCCTTCTTACTACGTTCATAGTTTCCACAGCACCTCCCTGTCACTATTCTCAGCTAATGCTTGATAATGATCTGTTTAAGCATTTGTCTTCCTCACAAGAGACTGCAAGCTCCATGAGAACAAAGCATGGTTTACTTTTGTATCTCCTTGCCATATCTGACTTTCAAGTAAGTGACTGATGAGTGAATGCATGGATGCCTCCCTGGCCCCTGGCTGTGTCCTTGGTTATTAGTTTCCATCATTCTCAAGTTATGCAGATTTCTAATGAACTCCAGATGCCTGCTCAGGAACATGTTCAGCTCCTAGATCTACCACCAGGCAGGGGACTACAGAATCAGGGCCTCTCTGGAAGCTCAGGAATGGAGCTCTGGTGGCAGAGTGGGCTATGCACTGAGCTGCTAGCCACAAGGTCGGTGGTTTAAATCCACCAGACACTCCATGAGAGGAAGATGAGGCTGTCTACTTCTGTAAAGATGCAAAGTTTCAGCAACCCACAGGGGCAGTTAGCTGTCCCTGACCTATAGGGTCATGATGAGCCAGTACTGACTTGATGACAGTGAGTCTGGAAGCTCAGGGATGGAAGGAGAGAAGGAAGAAGGCCCAGAATGTGTGCACACTTACCCCTAGAACATAGCCTACGCACAGCTGAGGCAGTGCCTTGTGGGAGGCCACAGGATGGAAGCAAGGACCGGTACCCAGAGGCCCGAAGATTTTGGGAGGTGCTGACAACAAGGTTGTTGGGATTCAAGGCAGAGTCCATTGGATCGGAGTGTGGCTCTAGCGACCGGGCCAGACTATTCCCCAAGACAAAGGTTTCACCTGGAAAACAATCAAACTGGAGTTAGTGTGGCCTGGAAAGCCTGCCCCAGGGGCCTGCTGGGGAGTTCTGTAGAGCGGAGTAAGCAGCAACAGGGAGAGGGAGGAAGCCCTCGGCGGGGACTCAGGTGGCCTGTGTACCATCCATGGTGGTGGTTCCCACTAAGGGACTAAGTGAAGCTCCCTGTCACTTTCTCAGCTTTGTATCCTTAGAGACTTTTCCTCTTAGACCAGAGACTATAGCTTCCCAAATTTATTTGGCCTACTGCCCCCATTTCAGAAAGAAACAAAATTACTCGGCGCTCCTCTGGTAATTAAAAAGGTTTTTATTACAACCCAGAACCCAGGATAAAGTACAGGTTTCTGTTTTTGCAGCCCCCTGGATCAGTCCAGTGTCCCCCAAGGGGCGGCATCATCCATTTTGGAAAGCTAGGGCACTAGATAATCTCCGAGGGTTCTTCTGTTCAGCAGATCCCATGCATTTCCCAGATCAAGAACACTTTATGAGCCAACACCATAACGGGGCCCTGCAAGGATGACAAGATGCCAGAGCAGGCCAGAGGGCTACTGCAGAAGACACACATTTGCTTAGATACGGGACGTCTGTTCAAGCAGAGGTGCTCTTGGACACCTGGCTACATCCTCTGTCTGCAAAGGACCTGCTCCCTTTGTACTTCCCTGTTCTACCGGTGAGAGCTTGGCCCCGAGGTCAGAATGTGAGTGAGAATTAGATCTGCCACTTAGCTGGCAAGTTAGTTACTTCCCTTAGAACCTCCACTTCCTCACCTGGAAAGACCCCCTTCCTTTGTTCCTAGGGGCTAGATCAAAAGAAAATGGTTAAGAATGCCCATGTGACAGAAATTTCACTCTGTTGTTTTCCCCTCAGGCCACGACCCACAACCAGATAGCAAGCAGGCCCCAGTCACTGCCTTGTGGAGCCTGCAGCAGCTCCCTTCTCCTGCCACAGCTCTAGCCAAAGGCAGCCAGTTCCTCAGCATTGGCAGAGCATTCTCAGCTTGGGGGTTGGGGGAGGGGTGGCAGGGGCGGGTTCCCTGGGTGCATAGCCACAGCATCATCATCCCTGTTCCTGCGCCTGGGTGTTGAGCTAATGTTTGGGATTCACTTAGGGCCTCTGATGAACACACAGCCGGGCACAAGTACGATGTGCATGGCAAGACAGTGTAGGGTCTTAGGACAACTTTCCAACACAGGCCGTCCCCGAATTACACAGGAGTTCCATCTGAAATCTGTTTTTAAGTCAAAATTGCACATAAAATAGTCGCATACAGGTTATATTTAATGTCAGTTTATCAAATGTGTGTGTATGTACATATACATATATATATTACTCAGTCACTGCCATCAAATCGATGCCAACTCACAGAGACCCTGTAAGGCAGGGTACAACTGTCCCTGATGGTTTCCAAGGCTGTAAATCTATATGCGAGTAGAAAGCCCTGTCTATATAATTGCATGTATTATATACTTATTTATATATTACATAGTTCATGCATAAGAAAGTAAAGGAACACTTCTAGGTACATTAAAACATATTTAACATAATATAGCAATATCAATGCTTTGATGTGTGTCTGAAAGTAGTAGCATGTTGGTATAATAAGCGGTATAAAAATACCAATATTAGGCGTCTAGTTCATACATGCATGGGTTTATTCCAAACAAAACGTGTTTACAAAGTCTTTGTGGCCAGTGGATGGCAGTGGACAAGTTCTCTAAGAAGACAATCAATCGAAACAGCGGCTTCTGAAGGGGATCTGCTGGGCTAGTTACATTCACAGTGGAGAGGTCAGTTTGGAAGGTTATGGCAGCTGTTCCCTGGGATCTCCCAGGCATCATCTTAGTAGATTTTCTCATGGAGCAGGCTGATCATGGGGTCTGTACAAAAAACGTTTGAAGAAAATCGAGAACTGCGCTGGTGAGAAAAGGCCAGGCACGTTGTACGGAGGAATCTGTTTTCATCACAACCCCGCGTCTGCCCCTGTGTCAGGAGCACGAAGGGCTGGCCTATGAGAATGTAGCTGTGCAATCTTACCCCATCCACCCTGTAGCCCTTCTCTTGCCCCTTCACACTTATTTTTGTTCTCAAAACATACAGACTGTTTAAAACAAACACAATTTGAGTCCCTTGAGGACGCCCACACTGACTTTTGACGTGGTATAAATGGAAGGACTCAGGTTCTTTGGGGGAGGGTTAGAGAAGGGCCGCCGCCTTCAGACGTGTATGCTGACACAACAGCTTCACATTCTTGGTATTTTTGATTCATAAAGGTGAATGTGATTTTTGTAGCAATACTTTTTGACTTGTTTATCCTCATACTTTTCATTTCTTTCCATGTAAACCAGAAAACAATCCAGCAGCATCTTTCACGCACTAAACCACAGCCAGCACAACAAAAATCCCACCTCAAATTTTCAATCCACCAAAAAAATCTCCTAAAATCAAAAGCTGTGGGAAAATTAGGGTAGACTGCTACCTCCTGAAACATGACCTACTTTCTGGATATAAAATTCTGGTTTTGCTTCTGTTGGGAGCTTAGCATAAGGACTCTATTTAATGTGAAATAATGTTTGCCCCCTTGCTGCCAGTGTGTCACCCTGTGGAGGCTGCGTGCTGCTAAGACAGCTTTCAGACTCACGAACGCTAGGAAGGAAGCTCTGGCTTCTTCTGAAACTGCCCATACACCTACAGTAGTCAAGGCAGTGCCAAGACAGACAGACAGAACAGTAACAGAACAGAGAACCCAGAAGAGACTCATGTATCTATGGTCAATTATAATTTTGATCAAAGCTGCCAATAAGTTAACTTGTTTTTATTAAGAGGAGTTTCTATAGATTAAATATTTCAGTTAATGTGGGTTGGTAAATAGCACCCAATGGCAAAAGGATAACCTTTAAAAAAATCATTTTATTGTGGGCTCTTACAGCTCTTCTCACAATCCAGACGTCCATTGTGTCAAGCACATTTTACATATGTTGCCATCATCCTTTCCTAAACATTTTCTTTCTACTTGATCCCTTGGTATCAGCTCCTCATTCCCTCGACTCCCTGACCCCCCTCCCTCCCTCATGAACCCTTGAGAATTTAAAAATTATTATTATTTTCATACCTTACACTGACCACTGTCCCTTCACCCATTTTTCTGTTGTTCACCCTCTTGGGGGCAGGGGGTATACGCTGATCATTGTGATTGGTTCCCCTTTTCTCCCCCTACCCTTCTGGTATCTCTAATCTCATTATTGGCCCGGGGGATTTATCTGTCCTGGATTCGCTATGCTGAGAGCTCTTATCTGTACCAGTGTGCATGCTCTGGTGTAGCCAGATTTGTAAGACAGAACTGTAGTCATGAGAAGTGGAGGGAGTGGGGAGGAAGCATTAAAGAACTAGAGGAAAGTTGTATGTTTTATCAGTGCTACCCTGCACCCTGGCTGGCTCTGGCTCATCCTTTCCTTGTGACCCTTCTGTGAAGGGATGTCCAATTGTCTACAGATGGGCTTTGGGTCTCCACTCCGCCCTCCCCCTTGCTCCCATGAACCTGACTTTTAACTAATGCAAAAATTGCAAAATTTATATGCAAAAATTAACTCAAAATGGATCATGGACCTAAAGGGAAGATGACTTAAAACGGTAAAACTCCTAGGTGTGATCTCTATAAGAAAAATGGATAAAAATCAAAATAGATAATCAAAATAAATAACTTCTGCTCTTCTACAGACATTGTTACAAGAAAGAAAAAGTAAGCTTTCAGCTGTAAGAAAATACCTCAAATCACACAGCTGATGAAGGACTTGCTTCCGGAGTGTATTAAAAACTCAACAATAGCTCAATAGTAATTATCATCAACAAACAAAGGGACAAAATGAACAAAAGATTTGAACAGGCATTACTTCAGAGAAAACATAACCATTGCAAGTTAAGTACCAGGAAAGATGCCCAACACCATTATTCATTAGGGAAATGCAAAAACCACAAGGTAGCACTACCCCTTTAAGCCCTATAGATGTAGGGAGCCTGCCATCTGCATGGCCAGCAGCTCTGTAGGAGAAGGACCAGACTTTCTACTCCATCAACAGCCACTGTCTTGGAATCCCACAGGGGGTCACGATGAGTGTGAACTGACTCGATGGCAGTGAGTTTGGTGTGAATTTTTATATACCTTTGAGAATGGCTAACATTTAAAAGATCATACCAACAGTTGGTGTGGATGTGGGGCACTTGGAATTCTTGCACAATTGCTGGTAGGAATGTAAAATAGAACAACTGCTTTGGAAATAGATTCTTAAAAAGTTAAGCATCTGGGGTCTTAAAGACTTGAAGATAAACAAGCATCCATCTAGCTGAGAAACAACAAAGTTGACATGGAAGAAGCACACCAACCAGCCTGTGTGATCATGAGGTGTGGATGGGATTAGGTATCAGGCATCTAAGACCCGGAACAAAAAAATCATACCAATGTGAATGGGGGCGGGGGAGCACATGCCGAGTGGAGACTCAAAGCCCATCTGTAGACAATTGGACATCCCCTTACAGAAGGGTCACACAGAAAAGACGAGTCTGTCAGGGTGCATAGAGCACCAATAAAACATACAACTTTCCTCTAGTTCTTTAATGCATCTTCCCCCTCACTATCATGACCTCAATTCTACTTCACAAATCTGACTAGACCAGAATATGTACATGGGTACAGATAACCCTCAACACATGGAATCCAAGACAGATAACCCCCTCAGGACCAATAATGAGAATAAAGATAACAGGAGGGGAAGAGGAAGGTGGGGGAAGAAAGGGGGAACCGATCACAAGGATCGACATATAACCTCCTCCCAGGGGGATGAACCACAGAAAAGTGGGTAAAGGGAGACAGCAGATGATATAAGATATGAAAATAATAATTTATAATTTATCAAGGGTTCATGAGGGAGGGAAAAATTGATATCAAGGGCTCAAGTAGAAAGAAAATGCTCTGAAAATGATGGCAACATAT